AATGGTTTTGAAGAGAAAATAAAAAATATTTGTTGAACGGACAGACTGGCGGACGGACAGACAGGATGATTGTAATATGAGTGCGGGTACAATATTTTGTCAGTGTATGTATCTTAGGTGCTAGTGGTAAGGAAGTCTGGATCAAAACGGGGTAATCTCTACTTGTTAAAACATATTTTTTACTATTTAGAATATCAATTGTATGCCTACTGGATATCAGTACAATAGCAAGTCACAAGGATAATGGAAGCTGTGGAACACCATTTTACAATAAAAACTAAGCTTTTGATACAAAGAAACAAGGAGAAATTTCAAACAAATTATGCAACAAAACATGATATCAAAACAAAACAAGTGTTGCTAAAATAATAATATATGCACTTTATATGCACTTAAAGCATAAAATATATGAACAGGTTTTTATTAAATATGGAATTGACTGGTAGCAGGCCAGCCTCGATTACGGGTTCAATTATTTTGTTGGACAATTAGATCCAGCGAATCGCTATCATTTCATCATCCTTAATATATATGTAATATTTGTCGCTGGATATAAGACATACATCAGTATCATCATCATCATAAGTATTATGGTTTGAGGCTTAATCTTCGTCGTATTAATTATAGCTTGTAAGTTTTATAGCTTGAGGCTAAATTCTTATCTGATATTTTAGCCAATTTATGTCGAGAACTTATTTTATGCATGCATCTCTTTGCTACATAATTTTTATAAATGTCCAAGTTAAAGCCAAAAGAGATCATAGAAGTATGTTTATCAAATGATCATGTCTACTCATAATTAAAACAGTAAGAAAGCGATTGACTCGTCCGACTAAAACGAAGCACAAAAACAACAATTACTAGTATTTCAAAATAAACTCCATGTACCGATCGTAGAGTATTCACAGCTACTGAACAATATCTTAAAAACAACTACAACTAATAAATACAGAATAATTATGCAGTCTAGAATATTAATCAATTATTTCGTACTGTTACACCAGGCCCGTTAGCATGTTTAACCCCGCCACATTATGTATGGATGTGAGTGTCAAGTAAGGAGCCTGTAATTCAGTGGTTATCATTTGTTGCTGTGCTTTCGTTCATTTTTTTGTACATTAATTAGGCCGTTAGTTTTATCGTTTTTGTTGTTTTACATTTGTCATTTTGTGGCCTCTTATAGCTGACTATTCGGTATGGGCTTTGCTCATTGTTGAAGGTCGTACAGTGGCCTATAGTTGTTAATTTCTGTGTCATTTGGTCTCTTGTGAAGAGTTGTCTCATTGGTAATCGTACTACATCTTCTTTTTTGTACATATCGCAAATTAAGTAAAAGAGTACATAAACACTCTAGAAAAGCAAGACCTTGTGTCATTTCAAAAGCATAGAGTGTCTGTAGGACCATTAGTTTTCATAACTGTATAGCAGATTATATGTAGTTTCTATAAAATGTAATGATAATTTATCAGTAAAAGATACATAATTATTAGTTAGTGGGATTATATATAACTAAATAAATGAATATTTATATTAAAAGAAACATCAGAAACAAGAATATGTGTACATTAGATTACACGCCAGTATCACATTTCCGTGTTAAGTGAGCTCTAAATCCAGGAAAAAATCCAATTCAGTATGTAGTCGTAAACTTCTAAATCTCGTGCGAGATGTCTAATGTTCAAACATTGTTGTTTTTAAAACGTATTTATCAAAGTCAAACGACAATCATTTATTATTTTTTTGTGCTATACAATTTGTGGTTATGGCCGGATCCAAGATATTTGAAAGAGGGCGTAGTTCCCGATAATTGAATTTATACTGCCGAGCGAAGCAACGCGAAAAAATATTGGACGATTTTATACTAAACATTTGTATATAGATAACGTGGAAAATGTGGGATGTTCAAAATTACTTGGCAATCGAAAGGGGGGAGTACGCCCTCTACCCCTGTATCTGCGAATGCACGTTTATGTATACATGATCAAAACCTCGTCCCATGCATTATTATAAATAAAGACTAAAAAGCACTTTTTGATAAATGTATCAATGATATGAATTTCTGCCCACGACAAATTATCTTGAATTAAATTATAGAAAAATATTTTTTTTTAAAGTTAGTCGCGTACACCTTTTACATTCGGGTGTGTTGGAATCCACTTTTTAAACGTTAAAACTTATAAAAACAAAAAAAGAGATAACCTTCTCGCTTCGGATTTCATTATTTTAATATTTTCATGCTAAATATTTACTTGGTAGTTTTTTTAAATTCATATGTTGTGAAGAACTGAAATATGGGTCAAGTGAAATGACAAGAAATGATGGGTGTATTTGATTACAAGTTGCTAGCTTACTTATTCCATTAAAAAATTGTTTGTCAATAAAATCATTAAAAATTTAATAACAAAATATTCAAAGATTAAAAAAATTAGTTGGGGTTGATTTTTACATTAAGTCTATATCTGCAAAAAATGCGTGTTCAAAGAGCAAAATATGCATGCAGTGTATGCTCCCCTCCGTCATGCTTCGATGCAATAGGACGATATACGTTGAGTTAGGTCGGTTATGTCGAGTAAAGTCATTTTATTGGAAATCTCTACTAAGACAAAATCAAAGAACATACGAATAAATGATGACGAACAAAACGCGCAATTATAAATATATATCAAAAATAGATAAAATACAGATTACGCGTCTTCATCTTTGCTTTGCTTATACAGATCTTTTCCCTCTGTTCTGGTAGTTATTACACCAGGCAAGGAAATTACCGTCTCCAAAATATTTGAAAGTTTTTTTTATGATTACGACAAAACCCGAGCCGCCCGAAAGGTTTTCACAATGTGAAAGTAACGAGTAGCGTTGTCAGATCGATCCTTGTACGCAAAGCGTAGAAACAGGATCTGTTTTTCAATAGATTGTGTAATTATTCCATTACATGTTCTATCCAAAAGGAATCTAAATCTTGATACTCCTTGGATGCAGGTAAATTTTCCGATCGACGTAGGCAGAACAAAGGGGAATACAATCAAATGTCATTAACGTATTGTAACATAAAAAAAACACACATGCTTAAAAATGCACTCATATTTACCGTTCTCGAGTTATATATATATATATAGGTGAAAAAATAGCTGAATATTTGGTTTCCGTTCTTTTAGTTTAGTTTGCTTCCACCAAATGTAAGTAACTTATATACAATGCGTTTTACCACAAAACACAGATCAAGTTTGAATTTGGGTTGCGTCACGATTACCTTTCTGAAGTTATTTCCCTTTATTATTGGAAAACATTGTCAAATCTTTAGTTTTCGTTCTCTAAATTTAGTTTGTCTCAATAGAATGTTATAAAACTTATACACAATGCGTTTTACCATACAACACATATAAAGTTCGAACAGACAACACAACATAGAAAACTAAAGACTAAGCATCACGAACTCAACCTTAAACCATATCAAAACATATGTAGTATTCATATGTGTCAAAACATATGAAAACATATGCTCGTAGACACAAGGTTCTCATAGCTTTAGAACTATGTCAAGACCAAAACTAATAAAGAATGAGTAATCAGTTAATGTGAGTCCTGAGTTATATGCATAGAGAAATAAAAAAACTTCAGATGAAGAGAAAGGTTCAACATTTTCCTTAGACTGATCTTGACCAAATAATCACAAATAAAAAAACTGTATGCAAACGCCGCACAATCAACAGCCTCATAACAACAAAATATTTACACTAGCACCGTTATGCAGGTGAACTAAGAAAGACCAACGAACTCACAGTATTCCACTATTTAAGCAGTATTAAATAGTAAATTAGTCAGCAACATAGTGGTCTTCTAAATTTCAATACTAATTGAGCGTTCCTGATGAAGGTCAATCCGGAAAAGCGCTTCGGACGAATGAAATTTATAACTGGTTGTATTCCTTCTTTTTTAAATTCTAGACAACCAACGAATGAAGAACCAGAGTGCCATGTTACAACAGTAGAAATCGTTTGGGTGCATCGTTTATCATTTTGAGTTCAAGCGATAAACAGATTGAATGATGGGTAAAAAATAATTGAACACATATTAGTTACAGAACTTAACGATTAGGCAATGGTTTACGCAGCCGACATGTCACTCCTGACTTTAAGATCGTTCTTTTAGCTTTGTATAGCTATAAGTAACAGAATGGGGACCAAAGATATCATAATATGTACAAGCAGAAGCGTCACTTTCTACGGAAGCAAGGCAAAGAAAGTGTTCTTCAGTATGCATTCTAAATATAAATTTTGTGTTACCAGTGACAAGCAAATTTCGAATTGTCATGCTTTCTCTGAACTAGTTGGTCTTTGGTTGTCTTTGAACGACCAACAAAGTAAGGACATACAGTCGTGAAATGGACTAATCATAAAATGGAAAAAGTAATGCTTAAAGTCAATGAAAAAATCTAATACATATCACCGAGCTTAGGTTATCTTTCAGGTTGGCATGCATTTACTTGAGACATTAAAATACTTTAACCAAACAGTATCCGTATTTTCATGTCAGTATCGAAGTACTTGCTACTTTGCTGGTGATACCGTCGGGGACTAATAGTCTTCCAGCAGAGAAAAGGACCCAGTAGAAGTAATAGCATTACATGTAAGAGTGAAGTAAGATAATGTGGTGTTTGATTACATGTAGCAAGTATTTTAATTGAGAGAATCAACGATCACCAGAACGACAAGATTCAGAAGTATAGGAAGTTAAACGAGCTGCTTTAAATTACAAAATAAAAAAAAACCTTTTATTTATAAAAATCAAAAGATGTGGTATAATAATTATTGCAAATGAGACAACTCTCCACTAGAGACCAAATGACATAGAAGTTAAAAACTATATGTCACTATAATGACTTCAACAATGACCCATACCTCATAGTCAGCTATAAAAGGCCTCAAAACGACAAATAAAATATTATTCAAAATAGAAAAATAACCGTCTGAATTATGTAAAAACAATGAATTAAAGGTTCCTGACCTTGTAAGCTTTTAATACTTTGATTATGACGAATGAAAGGAGATGTAAATACAAAACATTTAATTATAGCAAAGATAGTGTTTCTGTCTAGGCGGACAATTCCAACTTCCATCACAGTTGCATGTACAGAAAAACCGGTAACAGCCATCTTTATATGTGAAATTACTGTCTCCTCTGTACATATATCCTCTTACTTGACAATGTCCGCATGTAGAATACAAGTGTTCCCCCCAACAGACTTCCCTTGCATCCTCAGTAGGGCAATTCCAACTACCATCGCAGTTACAAAAGCAACTATAGTGCCAACAGCCGTCTTCAATCTGAAAACTTGAATTTCCCGTACGTTTCTTCCCTTCGGCTGTACATTGTGTGCAATAACTTGCCATTGTAACGCTTATTATCACTAAGAGAAATACAGCAGTGAAGGTATGAAACATCTGAAATAAAATGCATATTTTGAATAAATGGTCGTATTATAACATACTACAGCAATGTTCATAATAATATAGAAAACTACGCATCTGCTAATAATTTTTTAAATCGCAATTAATTCAACTCTTATAATAATAAGTCCTATCAAACTTTCTTTTAAAAAAGAAGAAACCAAAAAAAAGGAAACTTGTATAATCAACTTGTGTATGCTTTCAGTCTGCGAAGACATGTGGCAAACACAACTGTCCGTATTCGCCTAGAAAAAGCTGTTTTTATAAAATAAAAACGTAAAATTAAAAAAAACAAACAAACAAACAATTCACATGGAAATACCGCTTTAAATTGCAAAGATTAATGATTGTTCATGTCAAATATGCATGCATGCATGTATGAGTCAAGTTAACACTTCTCTGGAGACATCTTTAACAGAGGAATAATTTAATTCCCCCTTTATTGTCTACGTATGTATGAGATTCCACACACGCGGATCGCATTTTAATTATTAGGTGTTGAACATCTCGGAACATGTCTTACATTTGTTGATGCACTATGGGATGATTATCAAATACGCATGAAATAATCAAGCATTAATGGTAAAAGACAAAGAGGAAATTTCCTTTGAACGGAAAGAATAAAATAAATTTTCAATCTTAAACAAACTTATGGATCAGTCATCAAACAATCTTTAAGTTTGCGATTTATATTTTAACGTTGAAACAGACGAATGATCATCTATAGGAAATCAACAAATGACATTTACACTTTGTTCAAACAATAAGGTAAAGAATTTCTATTATGGAATGTAAATTTGAATAAGGGATAAATAATTGTATAAGTACAATATCTTAATTTCGGATTTCATCAACTAATCCGCAAACCAATGTGTACATTTTAAATCTATAAGTACAAACGTTTATGGCAAATATAAATAAAGAAACAAGTAAGATACCTTGCCTGTGTTTAGTGAAACTCTGTATGAATCTATGCTACTTCACAGGATTTTCATAACTTTAGATACACTTAAAGAGGTAAATGTCAAATTAGATACAACTAGTACTTAATGGAGAAACGGTCTTGGTTTTTATTGTTTGACATTAAAAATTCATGAAATTACAATTATAATTTGGATTCATTATCTTTGTAAATTATAATTTGAATACATGATAGGCGAAAAGACCACAGGGAAAATCAAATACATAACTCAAAAACGAACTGACACTGCCAACGACAAAAAAACATTCCATAGAAAACTAAAGACTGAGCAACACGAATTCCACCAAAACCCGGGGCTTATGTAAGGTTATCCGGAAATGTAATCAGAACCTGCAACAAATACAAACCCGTTGTGTTGTTCCTATTAAATACGTTGATAAGTTATATCAAGTGCCTAGACATAGCATATTCTACTGATTAAAGCGAGCTTAAGTTAAGTTATCAACACACTTTTAAATGTTGACTATTTCAACAACTATTGGAATGATATTACAAAACAGTTTGAGTCAAAGTGTAGTAATGAACAAACTATCAATTAAATTAGGACCTCAAAAGACTGATAATATTTTGTTCAAAATAACTAATTGCGCGGGATTGTCATGATCCAACGAAAATGATACGAATACGCTATGTTCAGTTTTTAGATGCATGGAGCAACATTTGGCGTAGACTTATTTGTTTTAAACTACATAACTAGCATGACTATTTATAAAAAATACCAGTTTAATGTGCCCAATGTAAATATGCACGAAGTTGTGACTTCAAATCGTTTATTATATCGAATATTCAGATTATATTTCCAATCTCGAACAGTATGATGGTGACCCTGTGTTTAATGTAGTTTTATTATTCATATGTCCAAAACTGGTAAGATCAGTTGTAAAACTAGTTATAAATCTTGTTAGTTCGGATTCAGATATATGGGTTATGCTTTTTTGTATGATGTTTTTGATTTTAGTTCATCTATATGTTTTGGAGTTTAGTGTGACTGCCATTTTTACTGAACTAGTACACATTTATGTTTAGGGGCTAGCTGAAGCACGCCTCTTGATGCAGGATTTTCTCGCTGTGTTGAAGACCCATTGTTGGCCTGTGGCTGTTTTCTGCTCTTTGGTCGGGTTGTTGTCTCTTTGACACATTCCCCATTTTCATTCTCAATTTTATATATGTAAGTGAAATCCTTTGACGGTTTAAAGGGTTATGTTCCATTATACTATGTAAAGATATTCTTGAGCTGTCAGTTCATCGAAGTTCTCACAGTAACTACAACATACAGTTAAAACCGTTAATTGTCATATTTATGAATATGGATCGTATAAAGTTAAAGTTCATTCATATACAATGACGCGTTGGACAATTTGCATGAAAATGTCAATTTTTATACTGTATATTATATTATATTATCATGTTATAATACCGGTAAATTGTTTGTAAGAGAAAATAACAAATTAATGTGCGCAACCAACTACCCGTAAACGGTGATAAATTTTATTCAACAATAAATTCCGAAAAAAAATTAATATTTTTTAACGATGAACATTTTTTTGTGTACTTCTTTGATTAACAACAGCGAAAATTATATGAAATGTATTCTGTTGAATACTTTCAATTTGAATATCAATCACTTTGTTTACATACAGTAACATATGTACATGTATCTTCTCTTAGAAAATAAGCTGTTGTTCTGCTTATTTATTTATGAAATAAATACAAAAAAAGTTGTCAATTTGGTCAAAATTGCGGTTTTGGATATCTTCTGGAGTATATAAGTATGTGATCTGTTTCGAAATAAGCCAAAATAATGAAAACCATGAAGTCAAATATCGTCATGTTACATTTTGTGTCCAAATATCGTCCTTTATTTCAAAAGCGCTCCCCACAAATTCTGGATCCACTCCTGATTTTGAGGAGAAAATAGTATCACTACATACCTTTATTTTTTTATGAAAACCTTGTTTTTACATGCATTGTACAGGAATTTCGAGAATTACTGTTTCGATTTGGCATCATCATTATCATTATGATAATTAGCATAATTATTATAATTATTATCATTATAACCTTTATCATTATTATTCATTGTAATTATTTAAAAAAAAAATCAGAACTTAATTAGAAGATATAATATGTTTAGAACTTACCATCATGAATCAGAAATACAGCAACGACACATATAATAAGGAATTCAGGTAAACATAGGTTTCTATTTAAACGAAATTGTATAAAACTGGTAAGATTTGTTAAAGATATAAAATTACTTCATGTTGAAGTTTAAGTATGCCAGTCTACGTGCAATCAACTTTAAAATTGTTAAAAGTTAATAGTTCATGCATATTTTAGACGAGACCAAATTAGCAGAGGACATATAAAATTGAGAATGGAAATGGGGAATGTGTCAAAGAGACAAGAACCCGACCATAGAGCAGACAACAGCCGAAGGCCACAATGGGTCTTCAATGCAGCGAGAAACTCCCGCACCCGGAGGCGTCCTTCAGCTGGCCCCTAAACAAATATGTATACTAGTTCAGTGATAATGGACGTCATACCTAACTCAAAATTATACACAAGAAACTAAAATTAAAAATGATACAAGACTAACAAAGGCCAGAGGCTCCTGACTTGGGACAGGCGCAAAGATGCGGCGTGGTTAAACATGTTTTTTGAAATCTCAACCCTCCCCCTATACCTCTAGCCAATGTAGAAAAACAAACGTACAACAGTTCGCACAGTAAAACTCAGTTAAAGAGAAGTCCGAGTCCGATGTCAGAATAGGAAACAAAAGAAAATAAACAAAATGACAATAATATGTTGGATAAAGACCGAATTTTGTCTTGCTACCGGCCACCTTACGACCTCTCAAAGAGTTGTTGCATGGTTCACTTGACGGCATGATGCTTAGGGATTCCCATTAAACGAGGTATTGGATTTAATGTTTCCATTCCAACGTACATGGCTGCCTATTAATACATTCCAAACAACCAAACGGACTCCACACTTTAGCATTGGTTTATTTTGGAATAGGAGAATGACCATATTACTAAATATCTCTATCAAATTTTACTGTGAGCGTTTGATATAAAGTGAGGAAAATAGTCGTACATCCTAATGTGTTAATTGGTATATATAAAGGAAATATCTAGATAATAAAGGAGAAATAATAAATTGTCGAAAAACAGACAACCATAACCAAAAAAAATTAAAAAATGAAAAGACAATTGCAACCAACGGTCAAAAATATTAAACAAAAGAGATAGAACAACCCGCATAAGCAAATGGGATACACTCAGTACTCCGAAAATTGAAGCAGTTTCTGTTTCCATGATTTCTAGATAAATAATAATCAAAACATAACATTCAGTTTCAAGAAGAAATAATTTTTAGAAACAGAAATAAAATATTAATTCAACGGACCCCTTAAGCGCCATGTGAATATAAATATTTTCTTTTTTGAAAAATCGTGCGCTTGAGCTTGAATGTTGCGCACTAGTTTCAAAAATCGTGTACACGAGTTAAAAAGTCATGTGCATCATTTTGAAAATCGTGCGCATGAGTTTGAAAGTCGTGCACACCAGATTGAAAGTCGTGCAAATCAGTTGAAAGTCGATCGCACAAGTTGAAAGTCATACGCACCACTTCGTAATTCGTGGGAACAATTTTGAAAGTCGATTGCAACAGTTTTAAAATGTCGTGCACACGAGTTTAAAAGTCGTCCGCAAGAGTTTAAAAATTGAGCGCATGATTTTTCAAACTGATGCGCACCAGATTAGATCTCCAGCAAACTAGAATATTTATATTTACATGGCACTTAAGAAGCACCGTAAAAAACAGTGACGATGCAAGTGATGCGCTATATACGTTCCTAGTTAAAATAAAATAACATGTACTGCACAGCTTGCAATATATGATGAGTAATTACAATTCAATATTGATATGGTTTTCAATGGTTCTTGAACACACAAGAAACAGGTGTTAACGAACAAGTGATCTTGTCAAATGAAGCAGAAAACATGCTCACAAGATATTTTAGTTTTTGCTTCATGATAAGTAAATGTCGAGATTTCTGTCGATGAAATTCTTTTTCCTAATGATGTTACATTAGAGATGAAAGACTAAAATGTACTTTTGGCCACATTGGCTAGAGGTATAGGGGGAAGGTTGAGATCTCACAAAACGTGTTTAACCCCGCCGCATTTTTACGCCTCTCTCAAGTCATAAACCTTTGGCCTTTGTTAGTCTTGTATGTTTTTAAATTTTGGTTCATTTATATGTTTCTGAGTTTAGTGTGATAACCATTTTCGCTGAACTAGTATTCATTATTGTTTAGAGGCCAGCTGAATCCTGCCTCCGGGTGCGGGATTTCCTCGCTGTGTTGCAGACTCATTGGTGGCCTTGGTCTGTTTTCTGCTCTTTGATCGGGTTGTGGTCTCTTTTACACATTTTCCGTTTCCATTATCATTTTTTTTTAATTTGTGTTGAGATTTCTGTCAATAGTTGTTTAAAGATATTCCATATATGTTTGCTGTGTTTTGTAAATTATATCGTAGCTTTTGTTGAAACCCCCGGCAATAACCTAAATAAACGAAAGAAGAAAACTATACCTGGGAATTTTTTTTTCAAGCCCACTGTGGATTAATAATTGTATAAAAAAGAGAATAAACCTGTATTTTATAAAATCTGGTTCAATAAAAGCATATTTTTCATAAATGACATTCTACCAGATGCTGGAAAAGGTCTCAGTTTGGAACAGTTAGAAGCAAAAACTGACAGAAATGTTATGAAATATAACAGCATAAATTCTGCTGTAAAAAATGAAAGAAAGCGCTATGTTTTGATAATTATAAACTAACCACTCTGTTTTTTTTTACCTTATTTGCCAAGATGTTTTTTGAAAAGCTCAAGAGAAACTAAAGACATGTATTCACTATTAATTAGAAATAATATAGTTTCAACGGATCAGAAAAAAATGGAATCAAATTTTAAAGTCAGATGAAAATAAATACAGATTAATTTTC